CCTAAATAGAGAGAACTAAGTAATTTAAATTGAGCAGAATGGTTTTGAAACTTGTAAGGAACATTAAAAGAATACTAAATCAAGTATAGTAAATTGTACCACTGGTCCCTATTGAAATATTAAACCAAATTAATCATTTTGTCAGATCCCAGCCCAGCCTCCACCAGAATTCAAATGTGGGTGGACGGTGAGTGACGTTATGTAGAACGCTTTACCAATACAGGAGACGAATGAGAAAAATGGGGGATGGAAATTTTTAGTGTAGGTATCATAAAAAATACAGTTGGTAAAATGATCTCAATATAATATGTTAATATAATGGCTGTGAGTTTACGTTCTCTAAGAATATTATACTTAATCATAAATTATACTAATCGTAATGTGGATGTGTCAGTTAAATAACGTTAATGATCTCACTAATATAAAAATGCACAATAAACATTTCTTAAAATTTTAATACACATTTTTATTTTATACCTTTGTATCAGGATTAGAACGTATTAAGTTAATGTAAAAGAAATGATTGAATCCATATAATTCAAACTTATCAGCAGCGCTTTTTAATGGATCTTTTTCAAGTTTTTATTTTATGTAGGTTTGACTTTGATTTTCTATTGAACAGCTTTGCCATGTCGAATCTCCACTAGCCGTGTCATGATGTCAAACAAACTGTACGGACAGTCTGCCAAATACTTTTCACAATTCCCGCGGGTCCCGTCCGCCTCGGCCTGGTAGTATGCGTCGTCGAGACCTTCCTCTTTTGATGCTGACGGCCTGAAAGATTATACAAAAATCATATCAGCTGACTGACTTTGTATGGAAGGTAGGAATTTTTTTGTTTCCCACCATTGGCTCCATAGTAAAAGTTGTTCAGTTCGATGATCTGAGCACGCCTGCAAAGTTTTCGTTACACCGTCCCTAACACCCCGTATAATGATAGCAGAAAAAATACCAGGTGGTGATGGCTTAGAATAACATAATTATCTCCACATAACCGTAGGTTTCCTAAAATGCGACGAAGGTATAAGTCCAAGGAATGTGCAGTAGCGTTCCATGCCTCTTCTCTTCAATTTGCTGCAGTGCTGTCGATGTATCCAATCTAAAATTTTAACTTACGTGAATAAGATGTGTAGGATGTGACCGAGTAGCCCGTTGTCATGGACTGGAGCCTCGGCAGCCTCGCAAATGTTACGCAGCATGCACTCCTTGCCGTTCATGCCGTGTCTGAAAATATAACATTAAAGTTTTGTACTATTTTTAGGATACTGATATAATTTTAATGTCTTTAGCAAAGGGTGTGTAGGGTAAAGTTCACTGAAGAGAGTCTCATTCAAGAACCCAGAAAGTGAGGTAAAACTTGATGTCTATATTCTGGAACAGCCACAACCAACTGCTGAATTGGGCCTCTCCTATAAGATATCTGTGTTCACCACCCTTGGCAGTCGGATTGGCGAGTGAAACAGGAAAAGGTAGGTACTGCGGGCAGAATTAGGATGAAAGGTACTCTGAGTCGAGAAAGCTCTATTTTTGATGCCAAGGAACAATATACCTGCCGTATAGCACTTGCTTTATTTTTATAAGATTGGCCTGCATTTATCTGCTATCTCACCTGTTGGTAAGTGATGATGCAGACGATGTTGGAGCATGCTTGCCTAGGTAGTGCGTATTCACTCTTGCCTTGAAAAGGCCCAAGTATGTAGTTTAATACTTACTCTTTAAATCTACTCTCCAATACGGTATAAGCCAGTTCTCTTGTCAAGCTTCTGCTGTGGCGAGAGCTTAAAACCTGAAAAAGAAATGGCTTGGAAAGTATCTACCTTCTCATAATCAGCAGTTTCTGCTGAATACATGGTCAGGACAAATTATCCCGTCAAAATCAAAACTCCTAAGTATATTCGACAGCAATTAAACCCAACTATACTAGGTCTGGAATCAGTTCGCCGACTTGCTCGTTTCGCAAACCGGCGCGATTCGCCAACTCGCTTTCTGCCGACTGGCGTGCTAGGCCTACTTACGCCATTCGCCGACTGCGCATTTAGCAAACTGTCATGATGTACAGTGAACATAATAATAGTTTATGGATCTGTATTATTGTACAAAAGAAAATTTAATACGAGAACGTAATATGGCATGATATGAAATTTTGAATAGGTACCTACTAGTGATAAACTTATCAAGAGAACAACTAAACAACCTTTTAAATGACTTGTATTGTAACACATAAAAAAATTAAAGCGTAAGCTCCACAGAGAAGACGTGCGTCGTAACGCATGAGATGACATCTGTCAGAAAAGTGACCGTCAACAAAGTGAACGTCAAAAAGTTCTTCGATGCGACGCGCGTCTCAAATATGTAGCTTTGTCTCTACGGAGCAAGCTCCACAGTATAGACGCGTGATGCGACGCGCAACATGACATCTGTCAGACAAGCGATCATCGGAGACGTCATCGTTACACATGCATATGCATAGCCATAGACTTACTATCTCATTTGTGATGTTAGCGCTTAAATGTTGCTAAAACTGAACAACTTTTAAACTAAACAACATTTAAAACTGAACAACTTTCAAGTTTAAACACCTTTCAAAACTGAATAACATTTAAAACTGAACAACTTTCTAGAACTGAATAACTTTAAAAACTGAACCACCTTTTTTACAGATGCAAACCAAAAAAAAATTATTTCGCATGCTAAAATTCGATAATCCCTAAATAATTAAAATAATAATCCCTAATATGAAAAATGATTAAAAGATGTGTAATTGACTGTACACTGTAGCTATAGTTTACCAATAGCTCAGTCGGCGAATGGCGTAAGTAGGCCTAGCACGCCAGTCGGCAGAAAGCGAGTTGGCGAATCGCGCCGGTTTGCAAAACGAGCAAGTTGGCTTACCGCGCGTACTCCCTAGAAAGCATGTTAACAAAGAAAAATATATCTTAATTTATAGCATTAAAATGATTTTGACTGATTGATTGACATAGGTGATGCGGCTAAATTTTCGCAGGTAAGGAACAACGATTTGACGTTTCTGAATGAGTAACTATTCCATAGAAAAGATTTTTTATTCGTCAAAATACACAATATCAACATACAATTAAAATGAAAAGTCAAAATAAAATATCCAACTCAGACTTGGGCATTTATTTTCTTGGAGGAACGCTGGACCGGGCCGGAACGGGACGGAAGATGCGTTGCTCGAAGTTTATTTTGATGAAAGAAAAGTCCTAATTTTATTTTATTTCACTTACTGGTAAGTTAGGGAAGACTACTTGATCTATCTCCGTGATGTTGGTAACCGTGGCGTAGTTGGCTTCAAAGTTGTATGACACGAACACGTTCTTGTCAGGGATATCTAGCGGAACGGCTATGGCCAAGAATGTCTGAAAACACAAATTGGGCTTTGTTTCATTTTGCGTATTTTGAATTTACCATCATCAATATCATCATAATCAAAAGCCATGAAACGTCTTAGCTATCGGGTAAACCACCAGATTTTAAAGTCCATTTTGCACCGCCCTGCGCGACATCTCCCTAAGTGCCAATTGCATCCAACTTCTATTAAAATCATGGCTGGCGTCATCTACATTTTTTGACCAGATTTGATTTTAAGTACACTTTAAGCAACACAGCTGCTATTGGCTACCATTGGCAGCCGTGTTGCTCGAAGTAAGTAGGTACGAAAACTAAATAAATGATGCCAAACCTTATGCCAAACAAAATTATACAGATTTTCGTTATAATGTTGCTGTCATATTTATTTGACAGGACAGAAACAGATATAGAATTATCCAAATCACAATCAATCCACAATATATTAAGTAAGTTATATTATCTCATAAAAGAAAAACACCTTACCCCATAAAGACTTGTGTCAAGAAAGACCAAACCACGCTTATCTCGATCTGATGCACACATTATCGCAAAGGGTAGCCTAAAATGAAATTAAGAAGAATAGTAATATCATAATACTCTAAAGTCATCAGAATACATGGAATGTAAAATGCATTTTCCAATGTTAGGTCTCTACTTTATAAAAAAACTGCACAGTCTTTTAAGTCTGTGTTATGGTACAGCTTTTGTAAATAAAATTGTGTTTAATGGACAAAAGGTCCCCTTATTTATAGACTAATAAATGTATTATAATTATTTAATAGAGCTACTTACAGAAGCACAAAATATTTTAGAAATGCCATGTTTGTCTAGAAATCACATTAGTTTTAAACATGACACACGACTCTTAAGACTGTTAACAATACTGAAAAAGTATGACCTGTTTAAGTTATACTAATCGACTGTACGGTTTTGTAAATAACTTCCGTTTACCTTAGGCGAGTAACACATGTAACGTTAGTTTATGCGTTATTTTTCCGCAGCGCTATCCGTTGCGTTTGAAAAATACGATTTTACCACATTTTCATAAAAATGCGGTTTGTGTCAAACTGTTTCAAAGATGCATGCGGTAGCGCAAAAATGGCGAATGCATCTAACCGTTTGACATTTACCATAATTTGTATGAGAATAAGGTCAAAATTCTTATTTTCTCAACGCATGCGCTACGGAGCGCAAAAATGACGCACAAACAGCCGTTACGTGTGTTTTTCTCCTTAGGTTCCAAATACTAACTAGTGGTGAGATGTCGTAAAATGCTAACTCTACGACTACAAGGTTATACCTACTTTAATGCGACATGAACAAGAAAACTCGAATAATAAATGTTTGTATTTTTTTTAATTTATTATTATTGCAATACGACAAAAATTACAAATATACTTAAAATCTAGTTAATATTAAGTTATGTTTCAGTCACTTCAGGGCCTAAGGTAGGTAGGTAGGTTTACCTATGTTATGGCACAGAAGCAAGGTAACATAAACTAGATAAAATACACACTCTAGAGGTAGCTACAGTGTTGATATTGTACTACTTCTATACTACTACATTGGGGTTTTAATTCTCCAGTTGTAGATTTTCTTTTTCATCAATGAAAAAAGAAGAAATGTCAAGCTTCGACCGGGAATCGAACCCGGGACGCGTGGGGTACCGTCCCACCACTCTGCCACTGAGCTGTCGATGCACCGGTTGATGCTTGACGAATATTGTCTTGATGCTCGTCCTCGTCACGAAGCGACGATCTTTGTTTGAAATTTGGCTAACATCAACCGTTGCATCAATTGCTCAGTGGCGGTGGGATGGTATCCCACGCGTCCCGGGTTCAATCACCGTTATACGGGGTGTTAGGGACGGTGTAACGAAAACTTTCCAGGCGTGCTCAGACCATGAAACTGAACAACTTTTACTATGGAGCCAATGGTGGGAAACTAAAATATTTTTCCGACCTCCCATACAAAGTCAGTCAGTTGATCGTGAATTTTGTATGGGAGGTCGGAAATTTATTTCGTTTCCCACCATTGGCTCCATAGTACCTAAAAGTTGTTCAGTTTGATGGTCTGATCATGCCTGCAAAGTTTCCGGTACACCGTCTGTAACACCCAATATGCTTGACTTCTTTTGTATTTCTGGCCATAATAATAACACAGTGAGTGCATTAAAATCCCAATAGATTCTTTTTCATCTTTTTGTCATGTGGGACCGTGTCGTGATGAATAAGTCGTGACATTTTCCTAAGCTAAAACAGGCTTCCCATGGCGCACTTCCACAAGTCTTGTGATGATGTCGAAGAGACTAAAAGGACAGCCGTCACGGTACTTATCGCAGTCTCCTCGAAGACCGTCGGCTTCTGCTTGGTAGTACGCATCTTCCAGACCTTCATCTTGTGATGCTGACGGGCTGAAAATTGTAAAGTTCTAAGTTGGAGTGGGGACAAGCTTTTCACAATTCAGCACGAAAAGTAAAAATTTGGAAAAAAATGTAAATGAATTAAGCCTTCTTCTTCCCTACGTTCTAGATTTCTACGTCCAAACCATTTTGTAAGTAAAGTTATTTAGATTTTCATCCATCTTATTTTTGTCTTTTGCAGATTTTTGGCTCTAGTTCCACACTTGAGACGTGACTCATGACACATGAGACAACATCGAGACGTTGAAACCGAAAAGCTACTCACATCAAGTCGCATCGATGACGACTAACGATCACTTTTCTGACAGATGTCATCTTACGTCTCACGTCTACTCTGTGGACCTGGCGCCTAAAACTTTTAGAATAAGGAACATAAAAACTTACGTGAAAACTATGTGCAGAATGTGTCCCAGAAGTCCGTTGTGGTGTAAAGGAGTCTCAGCGGCTTCGCAAATGTTTCTGAGCATACATTCTTTGCCCTTCATACCGTTCCTGAAAAAAATATGAACATTAGAATAATAAAAGTTTATAATTTTTTTTTGTCTTGATCGTAGACGTAAGACAAAGGCACCCCTCAGAGAAAGAAATACCGTGTTTTCCATTCGTGACTGAGTTTTCGGCCAAATGGTGTCATTATGTTTCATACAAAACTAAAATTCAACAACTGACATGCAGGCAGGTTCAGACTTTTGGGTTTAAAAGTGTTCACTTACTGTTTGAAATGAGTTTCTAAAACTGTGTAGGCCAGCTCTCTTGTTACACTACGGCTTTGTCGACCGGTTACAACCTGAAATAAGATGATTGATCTACATTACCTAGGCAGGTTACCATTATTTGGTACGGAAATTTTTTTAGAAATATAATAAACACGTCCAAATTCATAGCAAAAGTAGGAAGAAAATAGATGCAAACATTACGTCATATTCAAACAATTTGACAACGCTTTAATTTTCCACGGATATGTGACGTGATGTTACAGTTGACTATGATAAAATTGCTTGACTGAATTTGAATGAGAAAAAGACAAAATAATAAGAAGGAGGCCGAGGAGAAAAGAATAGTAAGGATAAGAAAAACAAAATGAATCGAACAGATAACGTATAGGTAGCCCTGGGAACAGGACTTCGTCTATCTGAGTGATGTTTGTCACCGGATAGAAATTACTCTCGTTCTTGTCTGTGATGTCCAGGGGCACTGCCATTGTCATAAATATCTGACTCAGAGACCCCCCACAGGACAAGAAAAAATTGGAATAGGAAAAGACAAAAGAATAGGAAAAATAAAACTGAAGAAAAAAGAACAGAAAAGCAAAATGAATCGAAAAGATAACTCACAGGTAACCCCGGAACCAGGATTTCGTCTATCTGCGTGATGTTTGTCACCGGGGAGAAGTTACCTTCGAAGTTGCACGATACGAACACATTCTTGTCACATCAACTCAGCTGTGTATTAAATACTAGCGGCCCGCCCAGCGGTTTCACTCGCTGCTACTTACCTGTTTTCCCGTAGAAATGGGATCTTTGCCCGTAGTAAAAAGTCCATTAATCCATTCTAGCAGAAGTTACTCATCATGACCATGTGCCAGCAGAGGCGGCCTGTCATGGCGAATAACTTTAACTTTGAAGCCATTACCGTATCTCTTATAGTTTTGATAAGATGCTGGTGGTCTACATCAGGCACTCCAGACCCTCGTGACCATGTGCCAGTAGAAGCGGCCCGTCATGCTGAATAACTTTAACTTTGAAGCCATTACCGAGTCTAATAAAGTTTAGATGGGGTGCTGGTGGTCTACATCAGGTACTCCAGACCCTCGTGACCTCGTGTGCGAGCAGAAGCGGCCCGTCATGCTGAATAACTTTAACTTTGAAGACATTACCGAATCTTTTATAGTTTAGATGAGATGCTGGTTGTCTACATCAGGTACTCCAGACCCTCGTGACCATGTGCCAGCAGAAGCAGCCTGTCGTGCTGAATAACTTTTACTTTGAAACCATTACCCTATCTCTTATAGTTTAGATGGGATGCTTGTGGTCTACATCAGGTACTCCAGATCCTCGATGACCATGTGCCAGCAGAAGCGACCCGTCATGGTGAACAACTTTTTCTATGAAGCCATGACCGTATCTCTTATAGTTTATATGGGATGCTGGTGGTCTTCATCAGGTACTCCAGATCCTCGAGGGCTGACCATGTCCGTCTTTTATATGATAGTAATATCAGTGCCAAAATTCGCGAGGATCGGTAAAGCGGTTTGGCTAATTTGGGTAATATCTGCTTTATTTCCCCGTTTTCCTGCTGCTAACCGTTTTCCCGTAGGAATGAGGAATTTTCCCGTGGTAAAAAGTAGCCTATGTTACTCAGGGATGTTGTAGCTTTCTAATAGTGAAAGAATTTTGGAAATCGGTCCATTAGTTTCGGAGTTTATCGATTACACACAAACAAACAAACAAACAAAGTTTTCCTCTTTATTATATTAGTGTAGATAGTGTAGATAGATAAAAAAGACAAAGTAAAAGAATGAAAAGAAAAAGGAACAGGAGTAGAAAAGAAAGAAAAACATAAAAGAATTAGAAAAAGGAAACTGAAGAGAAAAGAACGGAAAAGCAAAATGAATCAAAATGATAACTCACGGGTAGCCCAGGGAAGAGCACTTCGTCTATCTGCGTAATGTTGGTCACCGGAGAGAAGTTGCCCTCGAAGTTGTACGATACGAACACATTCTTGTCCGGAATGTCTAGCGGAACAGCTATTGCCATGAATATCTGGAAATGAAAGAATATTACATAAAAAACGATGTTAATAAAAGCAAAAAATACTACAAGGCATTAGTTTACAGGGAAGTCCATCTTAATTGAATGAGATAGAAAGAAGTTTAGCTTCTTGCACCATATTATCATCATCTTTCTGCCTTTATCCTAAGACAGTTGGGATCGGCGCAACATGTTCAGTTAGAACACAAAGTCATGTAGCAAAATAATTATAATGTTTTATGTCTCTGGGAATGCTATTGTAGGTTGTTTCACCGCCACCATCATAGTAGACGTGGGAAATGATAAGTTATTACCTTTATCACTCAATGAACAAAAAATAATAATAAACGATTATTAAAAATACTTAGTTCTAACTCAATACTCAGCTAAGCTCAGGTACTTACTCCAAAAAGACTAGTAGGAGGAAAAACCAAACGTTTTTGTCTCTCCAGTCCAGTAGAATACGCTATCAGCAAGAATCTGAAATTGTGCATACGTACAAATTCATTAAACAAAAATAAAAACGCTTTTTTACACTGTTTTACTTTGAACAAGAACCAGGAAGAAATAAATCTTTTAACTTAAATTTTTACTTGTCATAATCGTTTAGCCGTAAGTGATGATGGTACTTACATCAATAAACTGCTCTTCATCTTTGGTGAAATCACACACTAGATCACGGAAATAATATCAAGAACAGTGCTTATTTATGTGTTTATTTCTGCATGCTCAAATACAAACAACCATAAAATGTGGTTCTATCTGTCCGTACACACCAGAACTAACGTTACTTGAATTGAAACAATAAGTGCTAAGTAGTCTAATAGAGTCACCGTACGACATAACGGTATCTTAGTATGTAGGTAGTTACAGCTTTGAAGAATTTCAGTAGGCACTAAGAAACTAAAAAAAAGTACGGATGCATAGAATTCAGCAGGATAGGGTTTGCATTCAGTAAAGTTTTGGAAAATCGTTACGAGTTTCAAATTGTACAGCGACATCTGTTGTATAACAAACCACTAAATATCGTGAATCTATCTATTTACTTTCGTGTTAGTTTCTAATTTAAGATACTGAAATGCTTATCTACCTACACAGTTTATCCTGTTAGCTACTGCGCAAAGAGAATAGTAAATAAACAATCTTTCTCGGTAGAATTCAGAAAGCTCCAAATGATCATTATTATACTTCCACCAGGAAATTTGAGTAGGAAACAGCAAAATGAACTTGGTCTTGTCATACAAATTAGCTTTATGCCGTCATGACAAATGTAATCGCCGACTTTACGCGCTGAGAGGCAAAGGGAGAGCTATTAGGGGCCTTACATGCGTAGAGAAATATAAATTGGTATGATGTCATGTCCTACTTAACTTTACATATTTCAGTAGGTAGACACTTGTTTACTGATTTCTTTAAATGTTAAGAATTATGGAGTAATAGAAAAATAATTACATTCACCACGCCTTTATAAATAGATAGGCAAAGAAAACCCAAAATTCTTAATTTGAAACCTACGACGATTTTATGC